CGCAGCTTGCCCCACGGAGTGTCCAGCAGGGCGTTACTCAGCCCGTACTCACCTACACACTCACCCACACTCACCCTCTCACTCACCCACACACTCACCCTCTCACTCACCCACACTCACCCTCACTCACCCACACTCACCCTCACTCACTCACTCACGCACTCACTCACTCACACACTCACCCACTCACTCACTCACACACTCACTCACACACTCACACACTCACTCACACACTCACACACTCACTCACTCACTCACCTACACACTCACACACTCACCCTCACTCACCCACACACTCACCCTCACACTCACTCACTCACACACTCACCCACACTCACTCTCACTCACCTACACACTCACACACACACACACACACTCACCCTCACTCACCCACACTCACCCTCACTCACTCACGCACTCACTCACTCACACACTCACCCACTCACTCACCCACTCACTCACACACACACACACTCACACACTCACCCACACTCACCCTCACTCACCCACTCACTCACTCACACACTCACCCACACACCCACACACCCACACACTCACCCACACACTCACCCACACACTCACCCACTCACCCACTCACTCACCCACTCACTCACCCACACACTCACCCACACACTCACCCACCCACACACCCACACACTCACCCACACACTCTCCTCACCAGGCTGGAGTGAGATGGGCGCTGCGTTGCTACGGTTACTGTAGTACCACAGCTCGTCACCACCATCACCACCATCACCACCACCATCACCATCACCGCCACTCCTGGGGTAGAGTCAGAGGGCAGAGGAGACATCGCACCACCAGGGCTCACGCACAGTGGTGAGCGTGGGTGGAGGTGGTGAGGGGCAGGTGGTGAGGAGGTGGTGAGGAGGTGGTGGTGAGTAGGTGGTGGTGGTGAGGAGGTGGTGAGGAGGTGGTGGTGAGTAGGTGGTGGTGGTGAGGAGGTGGTGAGGAGGTGGTGGTGAGTAGGTGGTGGTGGTGAGGAAGTGGTGAGGAGGTGTGGGTGGCTCTCACGCGAAGGTGGCGGCGAGCAGGTTGAACCCGCTGTAGCGCTGAGCGTGTGAGGAGACCCCCTGCAGGTAGGCGGAGGGGGAGGTCTCGCCCCGCAGGTAGTCAGAGACCAGCTCGCCTGGCCACAGGGGCACGCAGGTGAGTGAGTGGTGAGTGAGTGGTGAGTGAGTGGTGAGTGGTGAGTGAGTGGCGAGTGGTGAGTGGTGAGTGAGTGAGCGAGTGAGTGACTCAGAGACCAGCTCGCCTGGCCACAGGGGCACGCAGGTGAGTGAGTGGTGAGTGAGTGGTGAGTGAGTGGTGAGTGGTGAGTGAGTGGCGAGTGGTGAGTGGTGAGTGAGTGAGCGAGTGAGTGACTCAGAGACCAGCTCGCCTGGCCACAGGGGCACGCAGGTGAGTGGTGCGTGAGTGGTGAGTGAGTGGTGAGTGAGTGGTGAGTGGTGAGTGAGTGGTGAGTGAGTGACTCAGAGACCAGCTCGCCTGGCCACAGGGGCACGCAGGTGAGTGAGTGGTGAGTGGTGAGTGAGTGGTGAGTGAGTGGTGAGTGGTGAGTGAGTGGTGAGTGAGTGACTCAGAGACCAGCTCGCCTGGCCACAGGGGCACGCAGGTGAGTGGTGCGTGAGTGGTGAGTGAGTGGTGAGTGAGTGGTGAGTGGTGAGTGAGTGGTGAGTGAGTGACTCAGAGACCAGCTCGCCTGGCCACAGGGGCACGCAGGTGAGTGAGTGGTGAGTGGTGAGTGAGTGGTGAGTGAGTGGTGAGTGGTGAGTGAGTGGTGAGTGAGTGACTCAGAGACCAGCTCGCCTGGCCACAGGGGCACGCAGGTGAGTGGTGCGTGAGTGGTGAGTGAGTGGTGAGTGAGTGGTGAGTGAGTAGAGAGTGAGTGGTGAGTGGTGAGTGAGTGGTGAGTGAGTGGTGAGTGGTGAGTGAGTGGTGAGTGAGTGACTCAGAGACCAGCTCGCCTGGCCACAGGGGCACGCAGGTGAGTGAGTGGTGAGTGGTGAGTGAGTGGTGAGTGAGTGGTGAGTGGTGAGTGAGTGGTGAGTGAGTGACTCAGAGACCAGCTCGCCTGGCCACAGGGGCACGCAGGTGAGTGGTGCGTGAGTGGTGAGTGAGTGGTGAGTGAGTGAGTGGTGAGTGAGTGGTGAGTGAGTGAGTGAGTGGTGAGTGAGTGGTGAGTGAGTGGTGAGTGGTGAGTGAGTGGTGAGTGAGTGAGTGGTGAGTGAGTGGTGAGTGAGTGAGTGAGTAGAGAGTGAGTGGTGAGTGGTGAGTGAGTGGTGAGTGAGTGGTGAGTGGTGAGTGAGTGAGCGAGTGAGTGACTCAGAGACCAGCTCGCCTGGCCACAGGGGCACGCAGGTGAGTGGTGCGTGAGTGGTGAGTGGTGAGTGAGTGGTGAGTGAGTGAGTAGAGAGTGAGTGGTGAGTGGTGAGTGAGTGAGCGAGTGAGTGACTCAGAGACCAGCTCGCCTGGCCACAGGGGCACGCAGGTGAGTGGTGCGTGAGTGGTGAGTGGTGAGTGAGTGGTGAGTGAGTGAGTGGTGAGTGAGTGGTGAGTGAGTGAGTGAGTGGTGAGTGAGTGGTGAGTGAGTGGTGAGTGGTGAGTGAGTGGTGAGTGAGTGAGTGGTGAGTGAGTGGTGAGTGAGTGAGTAGAGAGTGAGTGGTGAGTGGTGAGTGAGTGGTGAGTGGTGAGTGAGTGAGCGAGTGAGTGACTCAGAGACCAGCTCGCCTGGCACAGGGGCACGCAGTGGTGAGTGGTGAGTGAGTGGTGAGTGAGTGGTGAGTGAGTGACTCAGAGACCAGCTTGCCTGGCGACAGGGGCACGCCGTGGTGAGTGGTGAGTGAGTGGTGAGTGGTGAGTGAGTGGTGAGTGAGTGGTGAGTGGTGAGTGAGTGGTGAGTGATGAGTGGTGAGTGAGTGAGTGGTGAGTGAGTGGTGAGTGAGTGGTGAGTGAGTGAGTGAGTGGTGAGTGAGTGAGTGGTGAGTGAGTGAGTGGTGAGTGAGTGAGCGAGTGAGCGAGTGGTGAGTGAGTGGTGAGTGACTGAGTGAGCAAGTGAGTGACTCAGAGACCAGCTTCGCCTGGCGACAGGGGCACACCGTGGTGAGTGGTGAGTGAGTGGTGAGTGACTGAGTGAGTGACTGAGCGACTGAGTGAGTGAGTGACTGAGTGAGTGACTGACTGACTGAGTGACTGAGTGACTGAGTGAGTGACTGAGCGAGTGACCGAGCGACCGAGTGGTGAGCGAGTGGTGAGTGAGTGGTGAGTGAGTGGTGAGTGAGTGGTTAGTGAGTGAGCGAGTGACTGAGCGAGTGACTGAGTGGTGAGTGAGTGGTGAGTGAGTGGTGAGTGACTGAGCGAGTGACTGAGCGAGTGACTGAGCGAGTGACCGAGTGAGTGAGCGAGTGGTGAGTGACTGAGCGAGTGACTGAGCGAGTGACTGAGTGGTGAGTGAGTGGTGAGTGAGTGGTGAGTGACTGAGCGAGTGACTGAGCGAGTGACTGAGCGAGTGACCGAGTGAGTGAGCGAGTGGTGAGTGACTGAGTGAGCGAGTGACTGAGTGAGTGAGTGAGTGGTGAGTGTCCTCACCCCGGCCGCGTGCGTGTGGGTCCCGCGTGACCTCCAGCACGTTGGTGAGCGCCGCGAACCTGCCCCCCCTCGTGACCCCCAGCCAGGAGCCCCCCTCCTTGCCCTGCTGCAGGTCCACACCTACACACACACAGACAAAGCTCCCCCAGGTAGCCTCCAGCAGGGCTGCAGGGGCCTCTAGCAGGGCAGTAGGGGCAAGTGCTGCTAGTGGCGAGTAGCACCACCTATGATGCACACACAGACAAAGCTCCCCCAGGTAGCCTCTAGCAGGGCTGCAGGGGCAAGTGCTGCTAGTAGCGAGTAGCACCACCTATGATGCACACACAGACAAAGCTCCCCCAGGTAGCCTCTAGCAGGGCTGCAGGGGCAAGTGCTGCTAGTAGCACCACCTATGAAGGCTAGCGGCACTGTGGCACACACAGAGGGGGGTGGGTGGCCAGGACCACCACGCCCGGCCGCCTTTGTCTCCCTAGTGGCGATGGTTACTACACTACATCGCTACACCATGTACGGTGTGGTTGTGGTTGTTGTGGTGGTTGTGGTTGTTGTGGTGGTGGTTGTGGTGGTGGTTGTGATGGTTGTTGTGGTGGTTGTTGTGGTGGTGGTGGTTGTGATGGTGGATGTGATGGTGGTTGTGGTGGTGGTAGTAGTGGTGGTAGTGGTGGTAGTGGTGGTTGTGGTGGTGGTTGTGGTGGTGTTTGTAGTGGTGGTGGTAGTGGTGGTGGTTGTGGTGGTGGTGGTTGTTGTGGTGGTGGTTGTTGTGGTGGTGGTTGTGGTGGTTGTGGTGGTGGTGGTTGTCGTGGTGGTGGTTGTAGTGGTGGTTGTGGTAGTGGTGGTTGTGGTGGTGGATGTGGTGGTTGTGGTGGTGGTGTTGCTTGTGGTAGTAGTGGTGGTAGTGGTGGTAGTGGTGGTTGTGGTGGTTGTGGTGGTGGTTGTGGTTGTAGTGGTGGTGGTGGTGGTTGTTGTGGTGGTGGTGGTTGTGGTGGTTATGGTTGTGGTGGTTGTAGTGGTGGTGGTGGTTGTGGTGCTGGTGTTGCTTGTGGTAGTGGTGGTTGTAGTGGTAGTTGTGGTGGTGGTTGTGGTGGTGGTGGTGGTTGTGGTGGTGGTTGTGGTGGTGGTGGTGGTAGTGGTGATGGTGGTGATGGTTGTGGTGGTTGTAGTGGTGGTGGTGGTTGTGGTGCTGGTGTTGCTTGTGGTAGTGGTGGTTGTAGTGGTAGTTGTGGTGGTGGTTGTGATAGTGGTGGTTGTGGTAGTGGTGGTGGTGGTAGTGGTGGTGGTGGTGGTGGTTGTGGTGGTTGTTGTGGTGGTGGTGGTTGTGGTGGTGGTAGTGGTGGTGGTGGTGGTTGTGGTGGTGGTGGTGGTTGTAGTGGTGGTGGTGGTTGTGGTGGTGGTGGTGGTTGTAGTGGTGTGTGGTGGTAGTGGTGGTGGTGGTGGTTGTGGTAGTGGTGGTGGTAGTGGTTGTGGTGGTGGTTGTGGAGTGGTGGTGGTGGTGGTTGTGGTGGTGGTGGTTGTGGTAGTGGTGGTGGTAGTGGTGGTGGTGGTGGTAGTGGTTGTGGTAGTGGTGGTGGTGGTTGTGGTGGTGGTGGTGGTAGTGGTGGTGGTGGTTGTGGTGGTGGTGGTGGTTGTGGTAGTGGTGGTGGTGGTGGTGGTGGTTGTGGTAGTGGTGGTTGTGGTAGTGGTGGTTGTGGTAGTGGTGGTGGTTGTGGTGGTGGTGGTGGTGGTTGTGGTGGTGGTTGTGGTAGTGGTGGTTTTGGTAGTGGTGGTGGTGGTGGTGGTTGTGGTAGTGGTGGTGGTGGTGGTGGTAGTGGTGGTGGTGGTGGTGGTTGTGGTGGTGGTGGTGGTGGTGGTGGTGGTGGTGGTGGTGGTTGTGGTGGTGGTTGTGGTGGTGGTGGTTGTGGTGGTGGTTGTGGTGGTGGTTGTGGTGGTGGTTGTGGTGGTGGTGGTTGTGGTGGTGGTTGTGGTGGTGGTGGTGGTTGTAGTGGTGGTTGTGGTGGTGGTTGTGGTGGTGGTGGTGGTTGTAGTGGTGGTTGTGGTGGTGGTTGTGGTGGTGGTTGTGGTGGTGGTGGTGGTTGTAGTGGTGGTGGTGGTGGTGGTTGTGGTGGTGGTGGTTGTGGTGGTTGTGGTAGTGGTTGTGGTGGTGGTTGTGGTGGTGGTGGTGGTGGTGGTAGTGGTGGTGGTGGTGGTTACCGCTGATCACGTGGGGGTGGCTGGGCCAGAACTGAGCGGCGAGTGATGGGCGTGAGAACAACTCATCGCGGTTCGCAGCAACAATCAGCCTGGGGGGTCACGGGGGGGTCACGGGTCACGGGGGGGGTCACACGGGGGGTGGGGGGGTCACGGGGGGTGGGGGGGTCATGGGGGGGCACACGGGGGGGGTCACGGGGGGGTCACACGGGGACATGGGCACTCTCAACTGTACACTCACTCACCAGTACACTCACTCACCAGTACACTCACCAGTACACTCACCAGTACACTCACCTGTACACTCACCTGTACACTCACCTGCACACTCACTCACCTACACACTCACCTGTACACTCACCTGCACACTCACTCACCTACACACTCACCTGTACACTCACCTACACACTCACCTGCACACTCACCTGTACACTCACCTACACACTCACTCACCTACACACTCACCTGTACACTCACTCACCAGTACACTCACCAGTACACTCATCTACACTCACCTACACACTCACCAGTACACTCACCTGTACACACACTCACCTGTACACACACTCACCTGTACACTCACCTGTACACACACTCACCTGTACACTCACCTGTACACACACTCACCAGTACACTCACCAGTGCACTCACCTGTACACACACTCACCTGTAAGCTCCCCTGGTCGTTGGCCGTGGGTCGAACTTGAGAAAGAGGATGCACATCGGGGAGCGGGTTCACATCCTGGGGAGGGAGGAGGCGTCACGTGGGTGGGCTGCTGTGCCAAGCTAGGTGCACGAGGAGGAGGTCACGGGACAGACCCAGCAGGTGCCGTGGGTTGACTGCTGCAGCAGTGCACTCACCTACACACTCACTCACCTACACACTCACCTACACACTCCCTCACCTACACACTCACTCACCTACACACTCACCTGTCCACTCACCTAAACACTCACCTGGTCACTCAACTGCACACTCACTCACCTGCACACTCACCTACACACTCACCTACACACTCACCTACACACTCACCTGTCCACTCACCTAAACACTCACCTGGTCACTCAACTGCACACTCACCCGTACACTCACTCACCTACACACTCACCTGGTCACTCACTCATCTGGTCACTCACTCACTCACTCACCCGTACACTCACTCACCTGGTCACTCACTTGGTCACTCACTCACCCATACACTCACTCACCTGGTCACTCACTCATCTGGTCACTCACTCACCTGGTCACTCACTCACTCACCTACACACTCACTCACCTATTCACTCACCTACACACTCACTCACCTATTCACTCACCTACACACTCACCTGTACACTCACCTGGTCACTCACTCACCTGGTCACTCACCTGGTCACTCACCTGGTCACTCACTCACCTGTACACACACTCACCTGTTCACTCACTCACCTACACACTCACCTGTTCACTCACTCACCTACACACTCACCTGTTCACTCACTCACCTACACACTCACCTGGTCACTCACCTGGTCACTCACTCACCTGTACACACACTCACCTGTTCACTCACTCACCTACACACTTACCTGTTCACTCACTCACCTGGTCACTCACTCACCTGGTCACTCACCTGGTCACTCACTCACCTGTACACACACTCACCTGTTCACTCACTCACCTACACACTCACCTGGTCACTCACTCACCTGTACACACACTCACCTGTTCACTCACTCACCTACACACTCACCTGTACACTCACTCACCTGGTCACTCACTCACCTGGTCACTCACTCACCTACACACGCACCTGTACACTCACTCACCTGCACACTCACTCACCCTTACACTCACCCGTACACTCACCTGTTCACTCACTCACCTACACACTCACCTGGTCACTCACTCACCTGTACACACACTCACCTGTTCACTCACTCACCTACACACTCACCTGCACACTCACTCACCCTGCACACTCACTCACCCTTACACTCACCCGTACACTCACCTGCACACTCACTCACCTACACACTCACTCACCCGGACACTCACCTGCACACTCACTCACCTACACACTCACTCACCCGTACACTCACCCGTACACTCACCTGCACACTCACTCACCTACACACTCACTCACCCGTACACTCACCTGCACACTCACTCACCTACACACTCACTCACCCGTACACTCACCTGCACACTCACTCACCTACACACTCACTCACCGTACACTCACCTGCACACTCACTCACCTGCTCACTCACCTGCTCACTCACCCGTACAGTCGTACACTCACTCACCCTTACACTCACCCGTACACTCACCTGCACACTCACTCACCTACACACTCACTCACCCGTACACTCACCTGGTCACTCACTCACCTACACACGCACCTGTACACTCACTCACCTGCACACTCACTCACCCTTACACTCACCCGTACACTCACCTGTTCACTCACTCACCTACACACTCACCTGGTCACTCACTCACCTGTACACACACTCACCTGTTCACTCACTCACCTACACACTCACCTGCACACTCACTCACCCTGCACACTCACTCACCCTTACACTCACCCGTACACTCACCTGCACACTCACTCACCTACACACTCACTCACCCGGACACTCACCTGCACACTCACTCACCTACACACTCACTCACCCGTACACTCACCCGTACACTCACCTGCACACTCACTCACCTACACACTCACTCACCCGTACACTCACCTGCACACTCACTCACCTACACACTCACTCACCCGTACACTCACCTGCACACTCACTCACCTACACACTCACTCACCGTACACTCACCTGCACACTCACTCACCTGCTCACTCACCTGCTCACTCACCCGTACAGTCGTACACTCACTCACCCTTATACTCACCCGTACACTCACCTGCACACTCACTCACCTACACACTCACTCACCCGTACACTCACCTGGTCACTCACTCACCCGTCAAGTCGTACACTCACTCACCCTTACACTCACCCGTACACTCACCTGCACACTCACTCACCTACACACTCACTCACCCGTACACTCACCTGCACACTCACTCACCTGCTCACTCACCCGTACAGTCGTACACTCACTCACCTGGTCACTCACTCACCTGCTCACTCACCCGTACAGTCGTACACTCACTCACCTGGTCACTCACTCACCCGTACAGTCGTACACTCACTCACCTGGTCACTCACTCACCTGCTCACTCACCCGTATAGTCGTACACTCACTCACCTGGTCACTCACTCACCTGCTCACTCACCCGTATAGTCGTACACTCACTCACCTGGTCACTCACTCACCTGCTCACTCACCCGTATAGTCGTACACTCACTCACCTGGTCACTCACTCACCTGCTCACTCACCCGTACAGTCGTACACTCACTCACCTGGTCACTCACTCACCTGCACACTCACCCGTACAGTCGTACACTCACTCACCTGGTCACTCACTCACCTGCTCACTCACCAGTACAGTCGTACACTCACTCACCTGGTCACTCACTCACCTGCTCACTCACCAGTACAGTCGTACACTCACTCACCTGGTCACTCACTCACCTGCTCACTCACCAGTACAGTCGTAACCTCACTCACCTGCTCACTCACTCACCTGCACACTCACTCACCCGTACACTCACCTGGTCACTCACTCACCTGCACACTCACCCGTACAGTCGTACACTCACTCACCTGGTCACTCACTCACCTGCACACTCACCCGTACAGTCGTACACTCACTCACCTGGTCACTCACTCACCTGCACACTCACCCGTACAGTCGTACACTCACTCACCTGGTCACTCACTCACCTGCTCACTCACCAGTACAGTCGTACACTCACTCACCTGGTCACTCACTCACCTGCTCACTCACCAGTACAGTCGTACACTCACTCACCTGGTCACTCACTCACCTGCTCACTCACCAGTACAGTCGTAACCTCACTCACCTGCTCACTCACTCACCTGCACACTCACTCACCCGTACACTCACCTGGTCACTCACTCACCTGCACACTCACCCGTACAGTCGTACACTCACTCACCTGGTCACTCACTCACCTGCACACTCACCCGTACAGTCGTACACTCACTCACCTGGTCACTCACTCACCTGCACACTCACTCACCCGTACACTCACCTAGTCACTCACTCACCTGCACACTCACCCGTACAGTCGTATACTCACTCACCTGGTCACTCACTCACCTGCACACTCACCCGTACAGTCGTACACTCACTCACCTAGTCACTCACTCACCTGCACACTCACCCGTACAGTCGTACACTCACTCACCTGGTCACTCACTCACCTGCACACTCACCCGTACAGTCGTACACTCACTCACCTAGTCACTCACTCACCTGCACACTCACCCGTACAGTCGTACACTCACTCACCTAGTCGCTCACCACTACACCACCTCTCCCCACGACCACCACCGCCTGTGGCTGTACCCTGCCGCACTGTACCCTGCCGCACTGTACCCTGCCGCACTGTACCCTGCCGCACTGTACCCTGCCGCACTGTACCCGGCCGCACTGTACACCGCGCACACTGCACCACTCAGCACTGTACATCGTCGCACTGTACACCACTGTATAGCAGCACTGTACACCACTGTATAGCAGCACTGTACACCACTGTATAGCAGTGTACTACTTTACATACAGAGGCAGACACAGAGACACACACACACAGACACACACACACACAGACACACACACACAGAGACACACACACAGACAGACACAGAGAGACACAGACACACAGACACAGAGACACACATACAGAGACACACACACACACAGACACACAGAGACACAGACACACACACAGAGACACACACACACAGAGACACACACACACACAGAGACACACACACATACAGACACAGAGAGACACACAGATAGACACACACACACATAGATAGATAGACAGACACACATACAGAGACACACACACACAGAGACACACACACAGACAGACACAGAGAGACACAGACACACACACACAGAGACACACACACACAGAGACACACACACACACAGATACACACACACAGACAGACACAGAGAGACACACAGATAGACACACACACACATAGATAAATAGACAGACACACATACAGAGACACACACACACAGAGTTCCCGGTAGGCAAAGGAAAAAAAACTCTGTAACCGGTTCGAACCGCTATGCGTGACACTGCAATTGATTGTTACAGAACAGTTATAGCAGTCAATGGTGACATTAATCTATCTCGTCGTCGTGATGCTTACGATAATAACGATGATGATGATAATTATAATAATTATTATAATCCGACGGTGATGATGGTACATCAACTTACGCTGCCCTGTAAGTCTCGGGAAGGTCACGGGGCCGCTTTCGGCCAATCAGCGATCGCCTTGCATCCACCCCCACCCGACCCTTCCTCGCTGCGAGCCAATCAGCGGGCGCGTTACAAAATAGGGGCGTGGCTTGGAGTGGGGGGGAGGGGCTAGGGGGGAGTTGAGGGGCTCAGGGGGAGTGGGGGGGCGGGGCTAGGGGGGAGCTGAGGGGAGGGGCTCAGGGGGAGTGGAGGGGCGGGGCTAGGGGGGAGCTGAGGGGCGGGGCTAGGGGGGAGCTGAGGGGAGGGGCTCAGGGGGAGTGGAGGGGCGGGGCTCAGGGAGAGCTGAGGGGCGGGGCTAGGGGGGAGCTGAGGGGAGGGGCTAGGGGGGAGCTGAGGGGAGGGGCTCAGGGGGAGTGGAGGGGCGGGGCTCAGGGGGAGCTGAGGGGCGGGGCTAGGGGGGAGCTGAGGGGAGGGGCTAGGGCGGAGCTGAGGGGCTCAGGGGGAGTGGAGGGGCGGGGCTCAGGGGGAGCGGAGGGGCGGGGCTAGGGGGGAGCTGAGGGGAGGGGCTAGGGGGGAGCTGAGGGGCTCAGGGGGAGTGGAGGGGCGGGGCTCAGGGGGAGCGGAGGGGCGGGGCTAGGGGGGAGCTGAGGGGAGGGGCTAGGGGGGAGCTGAGGGGCTCAGGGGGAGTGGAGGGGCGGGGCTCAGGGGGAGCGGAGGGGCGGGGCTAGGGGGGAGCTGGGGGTGGGGGCTCAGGGGGAGCTGATGGGAGGGGCTCAGGGAGAGTGGAGAGGCGGGGCTAGGGGGGAGTGGAGGGGTGGGGGCTAGGGGGGCGCTGAGGGGCGGGGCTAGGGGGTGCTGAGGGGAGGGGCTAGGGGGGAGGGGCCCAGGGGGAGCGGAGGGGCGGGGCTCAGGGGGAGTGGAGGGTGGGGGCTAGGGGGGAGCTGAGGGGAGGGGGCTAGGGGGGAGCTGAGGGGCGGGGCTAGTGGTGGAATCAGAGGGGGCGGGGCTGAGGGGGGGGGGTCACGCCCAAACCCCCCGGGTCGAGGGGCGGGTGAGCACGAAGTGGACCACGTGACCTCTCGCCCCGCCCTCTGAATTCCGTAGCGCGGATAAGAGGCGGTTGAACTTTTCAAAAAAGGCGCGCGCCCATTGGCCGCCGCCGTCGTCACGTGACGGTCGCGAGCTCCTCCCCCCCCCCACCTCGCCACCCCCCCCGCCTATGCGCGCTAGGGAATTAGAAGCTCGTGGGCGGATTTAATTATTTATTAACGCTCCCCTCTCCAGGTGAGAGAAGCAGCAGCAGCAGGAGGGAGGAGGGAGAGGCGCTGCCGCTGCTACTGCTGCTTCTACTGCTGCTCATGGCCTCCTGTTAATGGCCTCCTGCTCGTGGCGAAGGCCTTCTGACAACGTTGCCTGCCACTACTACCACTGAGGGCCTCCATTCTACTGTAGCCCACCACCACAACTACTACCACAACTACCACCACCACAACAACTACTACCACAACAACAACTACCACCACTACTACCACCACTACCACAACTACCACCACCAGCGCACAGCCGTTAGCAGCAGTAGCAGCTTGAAACTCGATTCAAACTAAACTCGCACCCACCCACACACACACCCATTCACCACACACCCCACCCACACACCACACACACCCCACCCACACACCCCACACACACCCCACTCACCCACCCCGACCACCACCACCCCGTGTCCCACCCCTCCGCTCTCGACAAAGGGCGATCGGCCACAGGAAGAGAGAGGGAGAGAGGGAGGGAGGGCGTCTTCTTCCCCTGCCGCCTCGTGAGGTGCAGCAGACAAGAAGGTGAGCCACGTGAGGCGGCGGTGAGCTGTGTGGTGAGGGTGGTGAGGGTGGTGAGGTGTGCGGTGAGCTGTGTGGTGAGTGTGGTGAGGGTGGTGAGCTGTGAGGTGAGTGTGGTGAGGGTGGTGAGCTGTGTGGTGAGGTGTGCGGTGAGCTGTGTGGTGAGTGTGGTGAGGTGTGTGGTGAGCTGTGTGGTGAGGGTGGTGAGGGTGGTGAGGTGTGCGGTGAGCTGTGTGGTGAGTGTGGTGAGGGTGGTGAGCTGTGAGGTGAGTGTGGTGAGGGTGGTGAGCTGTGTGGTGAGGTGTGCGGTGAGCTGTGTGGTGAGTGTGGTGAGGTGTGTGGTGAGCTGTGTGGTGAGTGTGGTGAGGGTGGTGAGCTGTGTGGTGAGGTGTGCGGTGAGCTGTGTGGTGAGTGTGGTGAGGTGTGTGGTGAGCTGTGAGGTGAGTGTGGTGAGGGTGGTGAGCTGTGTGGTGAGGTGTGCGGTGAGCTGTGTGGTGAGTGTGGTGAGGTGTGTGGTGAGCTGTGTGGTGAGGGTGGTGAGGGTGGTGAGGTGTGCGGTGAGCTGTGTGGTGAGTGTGGTGAGGGTGGTGAGCTGTGAGGTGAGTGTGGTGAGGGTGGTGAGCTGTGTGGTGAGGTGTGCGGTGAGCTGTGTGGTGAGTGTGGTGAGGTGTGTGGTGAGCTGTGTGGTGAGTGTGGTGAGGGTGGTGAGCTGTGAGGTGAGTGTGGTGAGGGTGGTGAGCTGTGTGGTGAGGTGTGCGGTGAGCTGTGTGGTGAGTGTGGTGAGGGTGGTGAGCTGTGTGGTGAGGTGTGCGGTGAGCTGTGTGGTGAGTGTGGTGAGGTGTGCGGTGAGCTGTGTGGTGAGTGTGGTGAGCTGTGTGGTGAGTGTGGTGAGGTGTGCGGTGAGCTGTGTGGTGAGTGTGGTGAGGGTGGTGAGCTGTGTGGTGAGGTGTGCGGTGAGCTGTGTGGTGAGTGTGGTGAGGTGTGCGGTGAGCTGTGTGGTGAGTGTGGTGAGGTGTGTGGTGAGCTGTGAGGTGAGTGTGGTGAGGGTGGTGAGCTGGGTGGTGAGTGTGGTGAGGTGTGTGGTGAGGTGTGTGGTGAGCTGTGTGGTGAGGGTGGTGAGCTGGGTGGTGAGTGTGGTGAGGGTGGTGAGTGTGGTGAGGTGTGGTGAGTGTGGTTAGGCGGCGGTGAGGGTGAGCTGTGTGGGTTGGTGAGGTGTGTGGTGAGTGTGGTGAGGCGGCGGTGAGGGTGAGCTGTGTGGGTTGGTGAGGTGTGTGGTGAGTGTGGTGAGGTGGCGGTGAGGGTGAGCTGTGAGGTGTGGTGAGTGTGGTGAGGTGAGTGGGGTCTGGTGAGGAGTGTGGTGAGGTGTGTGGTGAGTGTGGTGATGTGGCGGTGAGGGTGAGCTGTGAGGTGTTGCGAGTGTGGTGAGGTGAGTGGGGTCTGGTGAGGTGTGTGGTGAGGTGTGGTTTGGATGGTGGTGGGGTGTGTGGTGAGGTGTGTGGTGAGTTGTGTGTGGTGAGGTGAGTTGGGGTCTGGTGTGTGGTGTGGCTTGGAGGGTGGTGGGTGAGGGGGGGTTAGGTGTGTGGTGAGGGTGAGCTGTGTGGTGAGGTGTGTGGTGAGGTGTGGTTTGGATGGTGGTGAGGTGTGTGGTGAGGTGTGAGGTGAGTGGGGTCTGGTGAGGTGTGTGGTGAGGTGGGGTGAGGTGAGGTGGTGAGATGGGGGTGAAGAGTTTAAAGGGTAGGGGGTGAGATGTGGTGAGTGAAAGTGTTGAGGGTGGGGTGAGGTGGGTGAGAGAGCTGTGGGGTGAGGTGAGTGGGGTGCATGCTTGGTGGTGAGTAGCGAGGTGAGGTGAGTGTACTTGGAACTTCTTTCGCACCGTACGTAGCCAACCGCGCTTATAGGAGTTGGTGAGTGAGCTGGTGAGTTGATGAGTTAATTGGAGAGTTGGTGGGTTAATTGGTGAGTTGGTGAGTGTGTGAGTTGGTGAGTGTGTGAGTTGGTGAGTGGATTAGTTGGTGATGAGTGTGTGAGTTGGTGAGTGGAGTAGTTGGTGATGAGCGTGGGAGTTGGTGAGTGTAAAATGAGCTGGTGAGTAAGCTGGTGAGTGAATTAGTTGGTGAGTGAATTAGTTGGTGAGTGAGCTGGTGAGTTAGCTGGTGAGTGAGCTGGTGAGTGAGCTGGTGAGTGAGCTGGTGAGTTAGCTGGTGAGTGAGCTGGTGAGTTAGCTGGTGAGTGAAATGGTGAGTTGGTGAGTGAATGAGTTGGTGAGTGAATGAGTTGGTGAGTGAATGAGTTGGTGAGTGGATTAGTTGGTGATGAGTGTGTGAGTTGGTGAGTGGAGTAGTTGGTGATGAGTGTGTGAGTTGGTGAGTGGAGTAGTTGGTGATGAGCGTGGGAGTTGGTGAGTGTAAAATGAGCTGGTGAGTGAGCTGTTGATTGAATTAGTTGAGTGAGTGAGCTGGTGAGTGAGCTGGTGAGTTGGTGAGTGAATTAGTTGGTGAGTGAGTGAATTAGTTGGTGAGTGAGTGCATTAGTTGGTGAGTGAGTGAATTAGTTGGTGAGTGAGTGCATTAGTTGGTGAGTGAGTGCATTAGTTGGTGAGTGAGTGCATTAGTTGGTGAGTGAGTGCATTAGTTGGTGAGTGAGTGCATTAGTTGGTGAGTGAGTGAATTAGTTGGTGAGTGAGTGAATTAGTTGGTGAGTGAGTGAGTTAGTTGGTGAGTGAGTTAGTTGGTGAGTGAGTTAGTTGGTGAGTGAGTGAATTAGTTGGTGAGTGAGTGAATTAGTTGGTGAGTGAGTGAATTAGTTGGTGAGTGAGTTAGTTGGTGAGTGAGTTGGTGAGTGAATTAGCTGGTGAGTGAGTTGGTGAGTGAGCTGGTGAGTGAATGAGTTGGTGAGTGAATGAGTTGGTGATTGAGCTGGTGAGTTGGTGAGCTGGTGATTGAGCTGGTGATCGTTCTCGTCGCGTATCCGACGAGAGGCGATGATGCCGAGTGTCGAGCCCGAGCCCGATGGGCGCGGTGGGGTCGGGGTTGGGGGCAGCGGCCGTTCCGGCTCGGGCGGGGGCACTAGGCAAGGCCGTGGTCTGAGCCACCTGTGTAGGCCCGAGTTTAACTTTCGCTGTGGACTTGAGCGGCTGCTGCTGCTGATGATGATCAACTTGATTATTAATCTTCTGTCGTCTACAGTTGCCTCTGTGCGAGGCGAATCGTGTGAAAGGCGTTTGTTCGTGATTCATGTTTGTGAGGGAGGGAAAGCGAGAGCGCTTGA